CATTGTCATTATTGTTATCACTGTTGTTATTATTATTATTATTATTATTATTATTATTATTATTATAATTATTATTACTGTTATTATTATTATTATAATTATTATTATTTTGTTATTGTTATTGTTAATTTTAATTTTATTGTGCTGGATGTTATATATATATTTTTTTTTTCTAGAAGATGGAATTATATCTATATCTATCTCTACATGTTGAAAGTCTTTTTTTTCTTTCTTTCTTTCCAAGTCAGAGAGACCTATGAGAGGTTACAGACCGAAGGCAATATGTGTGAATAACATTATTATATTTCAAGTAATTATAATCTCGACCTGGCATTTATGTAATTACTATGATCACCCATCTCTCATTAGTCATCACCAACCACTCAAGCACATCTTTGGAGAAAGAGAGAAAGAAAAAAGAACAAAATAAGATAGCACAAGTCTTACTTTGTTAACTGTCATGTGTAAATCTTTCCTACAAGTTTGTGGAAATATAAGACCAGTTATTTTACACCCACTTCTCTTTCTGTTGTTGTTATTTCATCACCATTATGTATATAATCTGCCACAGAATATAGAGGACAGTTTTCTGCAAGCATTATTTTTTTAGATTTATTGTCGCACAATAGGATTTGCCAGCATTATTGACAGGCGCATAAATTAGCACCAGTTTTGAGTAACATTGGAAATAATAACTAGAATGATACTGATGGACAAACATCGAAATTAAGACTGATTCACATGTCCCAAATTAAGACTGATTCATACATCCCCAGCGAGACCAAGGTGACTCATCGCATCGTGCAGTGTTGTGTCCTCAATGGCGTGGTGTTTGGCCTGAGCCTTGTCATCTTCAACTACCTCCTACTGCCCATGTTAAAGCAGGTGCTGAGCTTGTTCCTAGCAGACGGGGCTGGGGCGGTGTGGCACTATGCTCGGCCCACGCTCACCGCCGTCTTCGACATGCTGTGGGTCCTGCCCCTCTTCGTTCTCTCGAGGATCATCAACACCATTTGGTTCCAGGTAAGATGGGGTGAACTGTTGGTCAGGGTTGTGGCAGGGGTTGGTGGGAGGCAAGGGGGATGGGAGGGGGAAAGGGTCGTAGGGGATGACTGTGGGTTAATGGTGGGTGTTTTTTTTTTAATTTTTTTATTAATAATTATTATTGTGATTTGTGTGCATATGAGTGTGCACTTTTTGTGCATCATATGTATATGTGTAGAAGTGTACATGTGATTGTGTTTTTATTATTCAATATGAAGAAATCTTTGCATGACAAGGGGCATTTAATCTACATTTATGTCTTACAATGAAAAGAGGGAATAACCATGTCTTCCTTTCACCAGGATATTGCTGACAGTGCATACCGTCAACGACAGGGTAGACCACAGCTCATCAGTAGCTTGAGCAAGCTGGTGGCTGATGTTCTTATTTCCATCTTCATCCAGCTCCTCTTCTTAATGCAGGTGAGTTTGATGTTTAGATCCATTTCTCATGCCTTACATTTTCTCTCTCTCTCTCTCTCTCTCTCTCTCTCTCTCTCTCTCTCTCTCTCTCTCTCTCTCTCTCTCTCTCTCTCTCTCTCTCTCTCTCTCTCTCTCTCTCTCTCTCTCTCTCTCTCTCACATTCTTACTCTCTCACACACTCACTCTCCTCTGCCTTTGTATTTGTCTGCCTGTTTGAGTCAAGCCCCTCAATCTCACCAACCTACCTTGCCCTCAGGCCAACCTGCTGATGCTGCTGCCGATCATGGGCATCAACGTGGTGGTGGGGGGTGTGCACATGTGCCTCCTCAATGCTCTCTATGCCTTCGAGTACAGGTGGTTCAACATGGGCTGGGAGCTCTACAAGAGACTAAGGTATGATGCTGGGTTTTGTCTTATTTTTTAATGTTTTTATTTATTTTTTTTACTTTATGATTGTTTTGTATTTTCAATTATTTCTTGCTGTATTTAGTCAGTTATGTCTTGCTGTCATTTTCAGAGTTAACCATCAGTTCAGTCTTGCTGTCCTCTTGGTATTCCAGACCTCATCTATTCAGAACTGTATACTCTTTTAGGAGCATTCTACTTGCTATAGTAAAAATTTGATATTTCATACATTATATGGATTGCATATGCTTTTAGAAAAATCTACTTACTGTAGTAAATGAAATTTGATCCACAGCAGTAAATTTTTAATCTGGCTTCCCCATCCCCTTTTCTTAATACAGCTTTGTGGAGGAGAACTGGCCCTATTTCATGGGTTTCGGCCTCCCGTTGGCATTCATCACCATGTACTCCTCTTCTGTGTATGTGAGGTGAGAGAGGCTTTCATTTATCTTTTTTCTCTAAGAACATTTAGATTTTTTTCATATAGGGGGGATAGTTTCAAACATTTAGAGATTTTTTTTTAGAATGCCTTTATTGGCATAAGGATTATTTTTATGGTATGTATATAGGTATTTATGATTTTCTGTATTGATATATTAGGATGAGTAGAATATCATTCAGTATATATA